TTGTTTCCTAGTGACCCCTAAAGCCTCCAGTGATCATCTGGACTCTGAACCACCAAAAGTCACCTTTTTAAGTTTCAATGGAACTGGGTGATTCGTCTGGCTCAAGGTAGTTAAGGTGTTCCTGAATAGTCACGTTGGTTCTGTGAGGTCTAATTGGAGTCTAAACCACACAATGGTCGTGAAAGGTCAAAAGTGTCGTATTTGATCCCAATTATCTTGAGTAGTCACAGTGGTCGTAAGTCGTTCGACTGAACAGGGTAGTTCATCTACCCCGGGGTGGATCATCTGTTGTGAGCTGGCTGGTACTGACACTCGCAGGGGCCACAGAGCTCCACAACTCTATAATCACAACTCAAACATTTAAATGAGGTTGTTGAGAGCTGGAATTAAGATGTGTGGTGGGAAAATCAGTTTTATTTCATTTTTTTAAGAGTTTTCTGATGAGTTGAATGTTAATAATAATAATGATGATTCATGATGGATTATGTTTTTGAGCATTCACGATGAATGATGCTGATGATTCATGATGAATGATGATGAGGATCCGGTGACTGGCAGGAGATGGTGATGGAGCTCAACACTAAGATGCCAAGATCTAAGTTGCAACATGTATTAACAAAATGTTAATTAAGAACGTTGAAGACACTTCGCTGGGGGACACTATGTGTCTCTCAGGACACAGTAACACTATGTGTCTCCCAGGACACAGTAACACGTGTGTCTCTCAGTACACAGTAACACTATGTGTCTCTCAGTACACAGTAACACTATGTGTCTCTCAGGACACAGTAACACATGTGTCTCTCAGTACACAGTAACACATGTGTCTCTCAGGACACAGTAACACTATGTGTCTCTCAGTACACAGTAACACATGTGTCTCTCAGGACACAGTAACACAATTCACACATACACACACTGGCCATTGACAGCTCATAGTTCCTCAGTTGAAATTAACATTGAAATAAGTTTATTGAGGTATAACTACACACCAAGGGATGAGGTTGCTCAAGCTATTCTCACCCCGTCTCCCTTAGTTATACACTGCACCTGAGTGCCTGTATGTATGGACCATGTATACACTGAGCTAGTGTGTCTGTATGTATGGACTGTGTATACACTGAGCTAGTGTGTCTGTATGTATGGACTGTGTATACACTGAGCTAGTGTGCCTGTATGTATGGACTGTGTATACATTGAGCTAGTGTGCCTGTACGTATGGACCATGTATACATTGAGCTAGTGTGTCTGTATGTATGGACAGTGTATACATTGAGCTAGTGTGTCTGTATGTATGGACTGTGTATACATTGAGCTAGTGTGCCTGTACGTATGGACTATGTATACACTGAGCTAGTGTGTCTGTATGTATGGACTGTGTATACATTGAGCTAGTGTGCCTGTACGTATGGACTATGTATACACTGAGCTAGTGTGTCTGTATGTATGGACTGTGTATACATTGAGCTAGTGTGCCTGTACGTATGGACTATGTATACACTGAGCTAGTGTGTCTGTATGTATGGACTGTGTATACACTGAGCTAGTGTGCCTGTATGCATGGACTGTGTATACACTGAGCTAGTGTGTCTGTATGTATGGACTGTGTATACACTGAGCTAGTGTGCCTGTATGTATGGACTGTGTATACACTGAGCTAGTGTGTCTGTATGTATGGACTGTGTATACACTGAGCTAGTGTGCCTGTATGTATGGACTGTGTATACACTGAGCTAGTGTGTCTGTATGTATGGACTGTGTATACATTGAGCTAGTGTGCCTGTATGTATGGACTGTGTATACACTGAGCTAGTGTGCCTGTATGTATGGACTGTGTATACACTGAGCTAGTGTGTCTGTATGTATGGACTGTGTATACACTGAGCTAGTGTGCCTGTATGTATGGACTGTGTATACACTGAGCTAGTGTGCCTGTATGTATGGACTGTGTATACACTGAGCTAGTGTGCCTGTATGTATGGACTGTGTATACATTGAGCTAGTGTGTCTGTAACGCCGGCACGCCTCAGACGCCCCGTGATGATGGAGAAGACTCCGAGAGCGAGCTGAGGCCCGCAGGTAACTCAAGGATGTTTTCCCAAACAAATTATACCTTATGTCTCTGGTGCTCGTGTTCCGGGGCCCTCCCCCGCTCCCAGCACACGGTGTAATTGTTACTGCATTCTGCAAGTGGTGTGTGGCCCTTCACGGACGGTGTGTGTGGCCCTTCACGGACGGTGTGTGGCCCTTCACGGACGGTGTGTGTGGCCCTTCACGGACGGTGTGTGGCCCTTCACGGACGGTGTGTGGCCCCTCACGGACGGTGTGTGGCCCTTCACGGACGGTGTGTGGCCCCTCATGGACGGTGTGTGTGGCCCTTCACGGACGGTGTGTGGCCCTTCACGGACGGTGTGTGGCCCTCACGGACGGTGTGTGGCCCCTCATGGACGGTGTGTGGCCCTCACGGACGGTGTGTGGCCCTTCACGGACGGTGTGCGTGGCCCCTCATGGACGGTGTGTGGCCCTCACGGACGGTGTGTGGCCCTTCACGGACGGTGTGCGTGGCCCTCACGGACGGTGTGTGGCCCCTCATGGACGGTGTGTGGCCCTTCACGGACGGTGTGTGGCCCTCACGGACGGTGTGTGGCCCTCATGGACGGTGTGAGGCCCTTCACGGACGGTGTGTGGCCCCTCACGGACGGTGTGTGGCCCTCATGGACGGTGTGTGGCCCTTCACGGACGGTGTGTGGCCCTTCACGGACGGTGTGTGGCCCTCACGGACGGTGTGAGGCCCTTCACGGACGGTGTGTGGCCCCTCACGGACGGTGTGTGGCCCTCATGGACGGAGTGTGGCCCTTCACGGACGGTGTGTGGCCCCTCACGGACGGTGTGTGGCCCTTCACGGACGGTGTGTGGCCCCTCATGGACGGTGTGTGGCCCTCACGGACGGTATGTGGCCCCTCATGGACGGTGTGTGGCCCTTCACGGACGGTGTGTGGCCCTCACGGACGGTGTGTGGCCCTCATGGACGGTGTGTGACCCTTCACGGACGGTGTGTGGCCCTTCACGGACGGTGTGTGGCCCCTCATGGACGGTGTGTGTGTGGCCCTTCACGGACGGTGTGTGGCCCTTCACGGACGGTGTGTGGCCCTTCACGGACGGTGTGTGGCCCCTCACGGACGGTGTGTGGCCCTTCACGGACGGTGTGTGGCCCCTCACGGACGGTGTGTGGCCCTTCACGGACGGTGTGTGGCCCTCACGGACAGTGTGTGGCCCCTCACGGACGGTGTGTGGCCCTTCACGGACGGTGTGTGGCCCTCACGGACGGTGTGTGTGTGTGGCCCTTCATGGACGGTGTGTGGCCCTTCACGGATGGTGTGTGTGGCCCCATCACGAACGGTGTGTGGCCCCATCACGGACGGTGTGTGTGGCCCCATCACGAACGATGTGTGGCCCTCACGAATTGTGTGTGTGGCCCTCACGGACGGTGTGTGGCCCATCACGAACGGTGTGTGGCCCATCACGAATGTGTGGCCCTCACGAACGGTGTGTGGCCCATCACGAACGGTGTGTGGCCCCATCACGGACGATGTATGGCCCTCACGGACGGTGTGTGTGTGGCCCTCACGAACGGTGTGTGGCCCTAACGAACAGTGTGTGGCCCCATCACGGACGATGTATGGCCCTCACGGACGGTGTGTGTGGCCCTCACGAACGGTGTGTGGCCCCTAACGAACAGTGTGTGGCCCCATCACGGACGATGTATGGCCCTCACGAACGGTGTGTGGCCCCATCACGGACGATGTATGGCCCTCACGGACGGTGTGTGTGGCCCTCACGAACGGTGTGTGGCCCCTCATAAGCATTCTGCTCCTATATCATTTACAAAGCCCATCGGGAAGTGCTTATTGAACCCTCACCTCAGGCATTTTGTAATGACATTCAACATTACATTTTCCCTCTGCTCTTACCCCTGTTGCGTGCAAGCTCGCCCTTTTTACGCGGCTTTTATAGACCCTTTCGTTCCTTTTTTGACGATAGGCGTGATGTTGCAAGCGAAGTGAGTCGCTCCTGTTCCAGTGTAGAGTTCCACTCTCCATAGCGTCTCGCGTCGCCTCACTAGTGGCATTGCACTCAATGAAACCTGTCTTTAAAACACAATGTTTTTTCCCCCAGAGTGTGTCGGTATCTGGTAGAGGGAGGGAGGGAGAGTGTGGAGTTAGGAGCCTCAGAGACCTATACTCACCTGGGAGCCTCAGAGACCTATACTCACCTGGGAGCCTCAGAGACCACTATACTCACCTGGGAGCCTCAGAGACCCAACTACTCACTGGGGCCTCAGAGACCAAATACTCACCTGGGAGCCTCAGAGACCTATACTCATCTGGGAGCCTCAGAGACTATACTCACTGGGAGCCTCAGAGACCTATACTCACCTGGGAGCCTCAGAGACCTATACTCACCTGGGAGCCTCAGAGAAGACCTCTACTCACCTGGGAGCCTCAGAGGACTCACCTGGGAGCCTCAGAGACCTATACTCACCGGAGACCTATACTCAGAGACAGAGATACTCACCTGGGAGCCTCAGAGACCTATACTCACCTGGGAGCCTCAGAGACCAATACTCACCTGGGAGCCTCAGAGACCAATACTCACCTGGGAGCCTCAGAGACCTATACTCACCTGGGAGCCTCAGAGACCTATACTCACCTGGGAGCCTCAGAGACCAATACTCACCTGGTTTGAGCCTCAGAGACCTATACTCACCTGGGAGCCTCAGAGACCTATACTCACCTGGGAGCCTCAGAGACCTATACTCATCTGGGAGCCTCAGAGACCAATAGCATCACCGGGGGAGCCTCAGAGACCAATACTCACCTGGGAGCCTATCAGAGGACCAATACTCACCTGGGAGCCTCAGAGACCTATTACTCACCTGGGAGCCTCAGAGACCAATACTCAACCTGGGAAGCCTCAGAGGATACCAAATACTACCACTAATGGGAGCCTCAGAGACCAATACTCACCTGGGAGCCTCAGAGACCAATACTCACCTGGGAGCCTCAGAGACCAATACACACTGGGAGCCTCAGAGACCAATACTCACCTTGGAGCCTCAGAGACCAATACTCACCTGGGAGCCTCAGAGACCTATACTCACCTGGGAGCCTCAGAGACCTATACTCACCTGGGAGTCTCAGAGACCTATACTCACCTGGGAGCTACTCACCTGGATGGCTCGGAGATCTGTACTCACCTGGGTGTCTCAGAGGCCTATACTCACCTGGGAGCCTCAGAGGCCTATACTCATCTGGGAGCCTCAGAGGCCTATACTCACCTGGGAGCCTCAGAGGCCTATACTCACCTGGGAGCCTCAGAGGCCTATACTCACCTGGGAGCCTCAGAGGCCTATACTCACCTGGGAGCCTCAGAGGCCTATACTCACCTGGGAGCCTCAGAGACCTATATTCACCTGGGAGCCTCAGAGACCTATACTCACCTGGGAGCCTCAGAGACCAATACTCACCTGGGAGCCTCAGAGACCAATACTCACCTGGGAGCCTCAGAGACCAATACTCACCTGGGAGCCTCAGAGACCTATACTCACCTGGGAGCCTCAGAGACCTATACTCACCTGGGAGCCTCAGAGACCTATACTCACCTGGGAGCCTCAGAGACCTATACTCACCTGGGAGCCTCAGAGACCTATACTCACCTGGGAGCCTCAGAGACTCACCTGGGTGCCTCAGAGACCTATACTCACCTGGGAGCCTCAGAGACCTATACTCACCTGGGAGCCTCAGAGACCTATACTCATCTGGGAGCCTCAGAGACCAATACTCACCTGGGAGCCTCAGAGACCAATACTCACCTGGGAGCCTCAGAGACCTATACTCACCTGGGAGCCTCAGAGACCTATACTCACCTGGGAGCCTCAGAGACTCACCTGGGTGCCTCAGAGACCTATACTCACCTGGGAGCCTCAGAGACCTATACTCACCTGGGAGCCTCAGAGACCTATACTCATCTGGGAGCCTCAGAGACCAATACTCACCTGGGAGCCTCAGAGACCAATACTCACCTGGGAGCCTCAGAGACCAATACTCACCTGGGAGCCTCAGAGACCTATACTCACCTGGGAGCCTCAGAGACCAATACTCACCTGGGAGCCTCAGAGACCAATACTCACCTTGGAGCCTCAGAGACCAATACTCACCTGGGAGCCTCAGAGACCAATACTCACCTGGGAGCCTCAGAGACTCACCTGGGAGTCTCAGAGACCTATACTCACCTGGGAGCCTCAGAGACCAATACTCACCTGGGAGCCTCAGAGACCTATACTCACCTGGGAGCCTCTGAGACCAATACTCACCTGGGAGCCTCAGAGACCTATACTCACCTGGGAGCCTCAGAGACCAATACTCACCTGGGAGCCTCAGAGACCTATACTCACCTGGGAGCCTCAGAGACCAATACTCACCTGGGAGCCTCAGAGACCAATACTCACCTGGGAGCCTCAGAGACCAATACTCACCTGGGTGCCTCAGAGACCTATACTCACCTGGGAGCCTCAGAGACCTATACTCACCTGGGAGCCTCAGAGACCTATACTCACCTGGGAGCCTCAGAGACCAATACTCACCTGGGAGCCTCAGAGACCAATACTCACCTGGGAGCCTCAGAGACTCACCTGGGAGCCTCAGAGACCAATACTCACCTGGGAGCCTCAGAGACCAATACTCACCTGGGAGCCTCAGAGACCAATACTCACCTGGGAGCCTCAGAGACCTATACTCACCTGGGAGCCTCAGAGACCTATACTCACCTGGGAGCCTCAGAGACCAATACTCACCTGGGAGCCTCAGAGACCTATACTCACCTGGGAGCCTCAGAGACCTATACTCACCTGGGAGCCACAGAGACCTATACTCACCTGGGAGCCTCAGAGACTCACCTGGGAGCCTCAGAGACCAATACTCACCTGGGAGCCTCAGAGACCTATACTCACCTGGGAGCCTCAGAGACCTATTCTCACCTGGGAGCCTCAGAGACCTATACTCACCTGGGAGCCTCTGAGACCAATACTCACCTGGGAGCCTCAGAGACCAATACTCACCTGGGAGCCTCAGACACCTATACTCACTTGGGAGCCTCAGAGACCAATACTCACCTGGGAGCCTCAGAGACCAATACTCACCTGGGAGCCTCAGACACCTATACTCACTTGGGAGCCTCAGAGGCCTATACTCACCTGGGAGCCTCAGAGACCAATACTCACCTGGGAGCCTCAGAGACTCACCTGGGAGCCTCAGAGACTCACCTGGGAGCCTCAGAGACTCACCTGGGAGCCTCAGAAACTCACCTGGGAGTCTCAGAGACTCACCTGGGAGTCTCAGAGACCTATACTCACCTGGGAGCCTCAGAGACCAATACTCACCTGGGAGTCTCAGAGACTCACCTGGGTGGTAGAATGACCAGGAGAAAAATCCAGCCCTGAATGTTGTACAGGATTTAGCCTGTCTTTTCCTGCAGTCCTTAAGGCTTCTGTGAGCGGAAAATTATATACTGTCGGCAGTGAAGTTCCTGTTATTACATCATGCTCTTCTCAAGCACTGTCAACAGGTGCTCATCAGCGACAGTGGCTGTCAGCAGGCTCTCTCTTCAACAGTGGCTGTCAGCAGGCGCTGCTCTTCAACTGTGGCTGTCAGCAGGCTCTCTTTTCAACAGTGGCTGTCAGCAGGCTCTGCTCTTCAACAGTGGCTGTCAGCAGGCGCTGCTCTTCAACAGTGGCTGTCAGCAGGCGCTGCTCTTCAACAGTGGCTGTCAGCAGGCGCTGCTCTTCAACAGTGGCTGTCAGCAGGCTCTGCTCTTCAACAGTGGCTGTCAGCAGGCGCTGCTCTTCAACAGTGGCTGTCAGTAGGCTCTGCTCTTCAACAGTGGCTGTCAGCAGGCGCTGCTCTTCAACAGTAGCTGTCAAAAGGGGCTCCTCTTCAACTGTGGCTGTCAGCAGGCTCTGCTCTTCAACTGTGGCTGTCAGCTTCACGCTTCAACCATCTGGGCTTCTTGAATTCTATCCTGTACTAGAAGTGGGTACATACATTCACTCCTTCAGTAGAGGTATTAAGAGTTCAGTCAGTAACTATACTTGGGTATCAGTTACGGCTTCTGGCACTTCACTTTAGTGCCAGTTAATGTATGATACGTCACGGGGTGTATGGTGACGTATGATGTATATGGAACGTCAGGATATGTATGGTACGTCTTGAAATGAATGGTACAACATTAAGTTGTATATAAATATATATACATATAATTATATAATATAATTCCCTCATAAATAATGGGGTCCTTCAACTTCAGATCAACACCCAACAATATATGTCAACAAACATGTGAGCCTATTCAGTGAGACAGTGAAATATTATTAAGCATAATACACATGTTAAATATACGATGGCATATGTTAAATGTCATTTTATAATAAGGAAATGTACTGAAGACAGTTTTTTTGAGCACCAAATGAATGATTTACCAGATAAATGACCAGACACATTCATGATAAGAAAACTCATGGAAAATCATGACAAACATATTTATGTTGGAGTCATGCAAATAACATTCCAGTTGTCAACAATGTCTTGACATTTTTGTCGGCCGCATTGACAGGACAATGGCATGTTATTGACAGCAATGCCTTATGTTTGTCGCAAGTGCCGGGGAATATGTTATTTTTACTTGTTGTAAAACTGTTTTTGTTACATATTGAAATGATTACTTATAGACACACAAATTATGAGTAGAACACATATACAGACACACGGGGTCCTCGTGGCTGAGTGGACAGGGCTCGGGGGTGGTATAGTCCTAAGGTCCCGAGTTCGATTCCCGGCCGAGGCAAAAACAAATAGGCAGAGTTTCTTTCAACCAGGTGCGCCTGTTTACCTAGCAGTAAGTAGGTACCTGGGAGTTAGACAGCTGCTACGGGCTGCTTATAATATATATATATATATATATATATATATATATATATATATATATATATATATATATATATATATATATATATATATATATATATATGTCGTACCTAGTAGCCAGAACGCACTTATCAGCCTACTATTCATGGCCCAATTTGCCTAATAAGCCAAGTTTTCATGAAATAATTGTTTTTCGACTACCTAACCTACCTAACCTAACCTAACCTAACTTTTTTGGCTACCTAACCTAACCTTACCTATAAAGATAGGTTAGGTTAGGTTAGGTAGGGTTGGTTAGGTTCGGTCATATATCTACGTTAATTTTAACTCCAATAAAAATAAATGACCTCATACATAATGAAATGGGTAGCTTCATCATTTCATAAGAAAAAAATTTGAGAAAATATATTAATTCAGGAAAACTTGGCTTATTAGGCAAATCGGGCCTTGAATAGTAGGCTGAGAAGTGCGTTCTGGCTACTAGGTACGACATATATATATATATATATATATATATATATATATATATATATATATATATATATATATATATATATATATATATATATATATATATATATAAAATATATTTGCTGCTTCCTTGGGAATGTGTGCATGTGTGTTAGAAAGAAATATATAGTAGATAATAGAGGAAAATTAGATTGTTTAGAATGGCGGGGTCCAAGAGCTAATAGCTCGATTCTGCAGACACAAATAGTAAATACACACACACTGGCTTGTCCACACACACGCACGCACACGCTTTTTAAATATACGTGTGTGTGTGTGTGTGTGTGTGTGTGTTAGATAAAAATATATATAACAGATAAGAGAGAGGATCTAGACCTGGGGTCAGTACATTAGCCAACCAAGAACTAGAAAGGCGGGTCCAAAGAGCTAACAGTTCAATCTTGCAGGCACAAATAGCAAATAGTAAAAGCACACATAGGGAAGAATAGACTCATTCCTCTCAATGTTTGTTGATAGCGCAAACATTTTGAGGAAGATAAATACGAAGAGAGACTGCCAGGACTTGCAAGAAGTCCTGAAATTCCTGCAGTATTGCTCTAGTAGGTGGCTACTTGATTTTAAATGCACCAAATGCAAGGTTATGAAGGTAGGAGCTGGGGAAGGCCCGAATGTTACAAAGTGGAACCAAAGAACCGAAGCCCAAGCGTTACAGGCACATCTAGATGAGTGCACACACACACACACACACACACACACACACACACACACACACACATGTTAAGGGCATAGCGATTTTATTACAGTTGTATTACGAGTCTTGCTGCTGATGTACCGCTAACAGATAGAAAGATAGGGAGAGGAAGAGAGAGAGAGAGAGAGAGAGAGAGAGAGAGAGAGAGAGAGAGAGAGAGAGAGAGAGAGAGAGAGAGAGAGAGAGAGAGAGAGAGAGAGAGAGAGAGAGAGAGAGAGAGAGAGAGAGAGAGAGAGAGAGAGAGAAGAGAGAGAGAGAGAGAGAGAGAGAGAGAGAGAGAGAGAGAGAGAGAGAGAGAGAGAGAGAGAGAGAGAGAGAGAGAGAGAGAGAGAGAGAGAGAGAGAGAGAGAGAGAGAGAGAGAGAGAGAGAAAGAGAGAGAGACAGAGAGAGAGAGAGGATTTTAAAGAGATGGATTAAGTGTTGCAGAAAGAGAAGAAGAGATACATAGAAAGACGAGAGATACAGAGAATGAGTGATGAAGGGAGACATAAAGATAAGGAGGAATGGAGTACAGAAGTTAGTGAGAAAGGAATAAATGCAAGAATACAATAAGTAGCAGCAGTGAGAGATTTATTTATTTATTTATTTATATACAAGAAGGTACACTGGATTTATGAGAGTAGATAGCATTGATGTGTTACACTCTTGTAAAGCCACTAGCACGCATAGCGTTACGGGCAGAGAGGTAAGAGGCAGGGGAAGAGGAAGGCTGGAAGAGAGGGAAGCGGGGGTAGAGGAGAGAGCGAAGACAGGGGGCACTGCGGAAACCCGAAAGGAACGAAGGTAGTAGAGGAAGAGACGGGCTGGAACAGACAGGAGGGAGCTGGGGTCCGGGGGCCAGTAGCAGCTTCGCCCCACCATAAAAACCGGACGAGGGTTCTCTGTCCTCAGGTCCATGGTGGCCCCGGTGCTCACCTGGTGTGGCCTCTGGTGCTCACCTGGTGTGGCCTCTGGTGCTCACCTGGTGTGGCCTCTGGTGCTCACCTGGTGTGGCCTCTGGTGCTCACCTGGTGTGGCCTCTGGTGCTCACCTGGTGTGGCCTCTGGTGCTCACCTGGTGTGGCCTCTGGTGCTCACCTGGTGTGGCCTCTGGTGCTCACCTGGTGTGGCCTCTGGTGCTCACCTGGTGTGGCCTTTGGTGCTCACCTGGTGTGGCCTCTGGTGCTCACCTGATGTGGCCTCTGGTGCTCACCTGGTGTGGCCTTTGGTGCTCAGACGTTTCCCCTGTTGCTTACAAGGTGCTTCCTGAGTACTGTCGTCTCCAGGGCACTCCTGCCGGAGACGCCCCCTGGCCCCTGACTCCAGCTTCCACTGTCTCCCAAGACTGGCTCTCGGGGGACATCTTAGCCCACTAAGATTTAAAAATAATGGAGGGAAATAAAAATAATAATAGGAGTGTTTGAGTGGCGCTCCTTAATATAACAAGGGGGGTGGAGAGGGGGGAGATGGGAGGGGTTATGGTGGGAGAGAGAGAGATGGGAAGGGACAATGGGTAGGGGAGAGAGAGGGGGGGGGTGGAGTAGTCTGAATCATTCATGCTATTTATGAAACTATGTGATGTCAACTAATAAAATAGAATAAACAATAAGTTGACCATCTTGGGATTAGCATAGAATGTCCATCATTTGTTTAATATTCAGGATGTAGCTCATCACTCAAGGCGCTGCCGAACTATCACTAAAGGTTTGCAAATTGAATTTGCACAGAAACTATGTTCACCGCCCTGCGCGGGTTGCTTCCCTAAGGCCACATACTTCCCCCGGTGTTATCTCAAGAGAAAATATGATTTATTGTATTATTAATAACTCGTCGTTTCAACCCGAGTTGGTGCCTCGTGTGTCACACGAAGGGGAAGCCGCAGTACTTCCGTCGCAATCGAATGCAATATAAACAAAGACGAATCAGCTGAAAAGTTGTCGGGGTCGGCCACCAGGCGGCGGCGGCGGCGGCGGCGCGGAGCCCCAACACAAATGTCAGCTTCTTTTTCTTTTTTTGTTTTCACGCTGGGCATTGTTGTCATAGTTTACACCGGGGAATGGTAATGCCGTGGCTGCTCCGTGTCGGGCCCGGGAGCTACCGGTGATGGCAGGGGGGGGGGCAGGGCTCCTAGACCCGGCGGTAAACGACTTTGAGACGTAAATTAACCTTCTACTGACGCCAGAATGCCTTGCTTTCCACCGGAGGTTTAACGAGAGAGAGCGCCACGGATAACTGCATGTAAAGTCTTATTAGATAAAAGAACATCCTTGCGCGCAACTGTTACTCCGACAGAGAT